TTCAGAGTCTCTCTCTCTGCCCCTCCCCCGCTCATGCGCACGAGCTCTCTCTCAAATAAATAAACATTTAAAAAAAATTAGGCGTGCCTGGGTGGCTCAGTTGGTTAAGCATCCGACTTTGGCCCAGGTCATTATCTCACAGTTAGTGGGCTGGAGCCCCGCATCGGGCTCTGTGCTGACAGCTAGCTCAGAGCCTGGAGCCTGTTTCGGATTCTGTGTCTCCCTGTCTCTCTGACCTTCTCCTTGCTCTCTCTCTCTCTCTCTCTCTCTCTCTCAGAAATAAATAGAACATTTTAAAAAATTAAAAAATAAGACCTTTAAAAGAATAATTATACATCCTGGAAAATAGATTATATGAATGAAATTATATGCTTAAGATATAAAACCACGTGGTCTCTGGAGAAAAGGCAGAGGCATTATCCTAAGTGCCGCTGACCTACACACATACAAACACACACACACACACACATACACACACACATGTGCAGCTTGTGCTTTCTGAGATCTTTGGTTCTCCTCGGGTTTAGAACACCTTGATCTAGATCTTTCAGAGCTGCTGCTAACCTGCAGGAGGCACTATGTCCAGTCAACAGCTCTCTGGGTTTCCAACAGTTCATCCATAAGCAAGATGCTAGGACTCTAAATCCCCTTGGTTTATAGCTTGGCCATGAAGAGCACAAGCGCTCAATTCCGTGTGAGACGCGGACACTATGGGGCGCTGCCGGCCAGGAGGAAGTGAGAGTTTCCCCCAGGCTCTTCCTACAAAGCGTCCACACCCGGTAAAAGTGGTCGTGATAACACTACAGATTTCTAAATCTGAGAAAGCCAGCCAGCTGGGTCTGATAGATATCTGGTTAACATAGGACACTGAAATATGTGATTTATTTGACTAACTTGACTTTAACAGCAGTCCCCTCCCTGAGCACCAGATCAGACCACTACCTGGGAGGTGACATGCGTTTTTAAATCATTTTCCCAAAGGAATCAGTGTTTGCTTGGTTTGTTGATTCTACTTTTATTTGAACAAGGGGGAAAGCTGGAGTCTCTTCTTTGATTGTATAGATTTAAACTACTAGTTTTCTCGTTCTTATTACTGTGAGTAATCCATAATACAGACTACAATTATTTCCATCTTAATTATGTAGGCTTTCAAATGTTTTCAGTTCAATCTGATTCACGTTAAGAAACAACGATGCCCGGGGCACCCACGTGGCTCAGTCAGTTAAGCCATCGGACTTTGGCTCAGGGTGTAATCTCGAGTGTCGGTGGGTTGGAGCCCCCACTTGGGCTCTGTGCTGACAGCTTGGAGCCTGGAGCCTGCTTCAGATTCTGTATCTTCCTCTCTCTCTGCCCCTCCCCCACTTGCACTGTCTCTCTCTCTCTCTCTCAAAAATAAAAAAATTTTAAAACACACACACACACACACACACACACACACACACACACACACACACACACATACTGATGCCCATGATATGTGCAAGCATGCTGCTGGCTCCCCAGGTGGCTACAGAGGCTAAGGCCACTTTCATTCACAATTCCTGTGCACAGGCAGATACAAAGAGATGAATCCAATACATAACCAACTGTAACTCAAGTAGGAAGTGATAACATGGCTCAAAGGTGATACAAGTTAAGTGCTGTGGACCCCAGAGGAAGGTGAGACTTGCCACCCCAAATGTCCACATGGCCCTCCCTTCTCAGAGCCCCTGCTATCTTGTCAGACAGGGCCTTCCCAGGCCCCCCGTGCCTGGCACTGGCTTCTCCCCCATTTCACTGTGTCCATTTGTCAGTCTATGTCTTGTCTGCCTCCCCACACTGGTGCGTAAGCCCCATGCGGGCAAAGCCTCTCCCCAGCCCCTGCTTGTGCTTCCTGGGACACGCCCAGACTTAGGAAGGTGATTTGGCCACAGAACTCAAGAGCCAAGGAAAAAGAGCGAGAACAGTGCACACCCTTGGACTCAGCCAGCACGTCCCGGGAAGGTGTTCTAAGGACGCCATCCCTGTGGTCCCTGCAGGGGGCAGGAAGGTGTTGTCTTCCTTGCCTCTCCCAGCTTCCGGAGCTGAGGTCTGCAGCTCTGAGTGGAGGGGGGAGGAGGGGGGGGATCCTCAGCAGCACTGTGTGCTCCTGCCTGGCATCCAGGCAGCACTGCCAGAACAGAGGCCAAGCAGCAATTTGGGCGCAACCCCACGTGGCAGGAACTGTTCTACACACCCATGGGCATAGGCCCTTTTACCCCTCTAGAAGTCAGGATGTGACCCTAGGTCCTCTAACTGCAGACATGTGCTCTGAGTCCATCACATGGCTCAGCCTCTGGGGCACACGGGGCCTGGGACATGGGGGTGACACATAGGGACTGTATGGATGACATATGGACAGAAAGCATTTTGTTTCATCTAGAACTGAGGTCTACAGCCTTCCTGGTCTCACAGGCCTTTGGTCCGGTTCACAAAAGTGCATCAGCGAAGACTCTGCAAGCTTCAAATACTCATTTTCTCTTGGGAGTGGGGGCGTGATGAAGCAGTGATGGACTTGCAGGAGGGGTTCAGTATACTTCAGTTATCACAGCTTGCCACTTGTCAGCTCTGTGAGTCTTGGGAAATGACAAAGCCTCTCCGAGCCTCCACTTTCTCATGTGTAACAGTTAGCAGGAACCACACAGTAGCTGCGCAATAAATATTACTTTCCACAGGATAACTGTCATGGTATAATTTCAACTAGTAAAAAGTTGGAAACAACTTTATATCCAACAAGAGAGATGCTGGCATTGAATATGGTAGTTTTAGACACTGGAAGAGTCTAAACCCGTTTAAAAAAAAAACCAGTACATTTAAAAATACACAAAAAATACAGTAAAAAAACAATGCTGGGTACAAAAACAAAATGTAGAATGGATTTGAAAAATATCGTGAAGGAAATACTGCCAAATGTTAGGCACCTCACTCTGGGTGATAGAACACCAGGATGACGAGTGTCTTTATTATACTTTTTTGTATTTTTTAAATGTTCCAACAAGGAGTTTGCTTTTTTTTTTTTCCACAACCAAGCAACACATTGTTTGCAAATTTAACATCCTTTCATTTTATACCATGCTGGTTAATGCTTTAACACAAAGAGCAAGAGCAGAAACAGAGAAATCAGAGAAAAAGGTAAGGGGGGAGGAGAGTGCTCACTTTCAGCGGCGTTTATTGAGAATCCACTGGGTTTCAGGCACTGTGTTAACTGTGCCAACTGAGTGAGATCTCAAAGAGCTGGTCATTGCCAGGCAGACAAGGCAAGGGGATGGCATGTGCAAAGGCTCTGGGGTGTGAAGCAGCAGGTATGTTGAACAGCAAGCAGGGTCTGTGGAGGAGAGGAAAGAATGTGGCTGAGGGATGGGCAAGCTGGAAATGCCCCTGGGGTTCCTATTAGCTGTATGAAGGGATTCAGACTGCATTCAGAGGGCCCTGAAGCTCCTTGGGGTGTTTGTTTTATTTTCAGTTAAAAAATGTTATTGAGATAATTATAAATTCACATGTACTTGTAAGGAAGAATACAGAGAGATGCCTGGTACACTTTGTCCAGTTTCCCTCAACATTTTGCAAAACCATAGTGCAATATCACAACCAGGGTATCGGCATTGATACAATCTGCTGATCTTGTTCAGATTTTCCCAGTTTTACCTGGACATGCACGCACCTGCACTTATCAAGTTCCATACAATTTCATCACCTGCATAGGTTCTCATATCCACCATCACAGTCAAGATACAGAACAATTCCAGCACCGCAGGGGCTCCTGCTGCCCTTTGATAACCACACCCAACTCCCTCCTGCCCCCTCCTCTCCAGCTCACCAGACAAGGGGACTGATTCAGAGGGGAGGGGAAGGAGGAGGGGCCTACAGAGACCCCATTTCTGTCTGGCAGAGCTCACAGGGGCTGGGGTGAGCTGTGACTTAGGGACCGAGTTTGGGGCTAGCATGCTAAGTTAGCCGTGGCCATGGGAAAGGTCTAGAGGGCCATGGAGGGGATATTCTGGAGACCAGTGGATTTACAAATCCACAGTGAAGAGAGAGGTCTGGGCTGGAGGTGAGTGTGGGAGTCATCACCTGTCATGGCTGGTGCTGTGGGTTTGCTGGGAGGGAGCAGGGCAAGAGGAGGGTGGCCACCCTTCATGTAACAGACAGCTGCAGACAGTCCCGCACAGAGGCCCACGGACTTTGCCTTGTTTTACAGCTGCTGGCTGCCTCCAGTCTGGCCAAGCCTTTCTCTTGCTTAAGGAGCCCCGGGAAACTGCATGGAGGGCTCCCCCTACTTGTAGGACGCCCTCACTTTGCCTCCGCTTGTGAGCCTCAGAGCCAGGCTTGGCATGCCCCACTGCAAAATATGCACCCCCTTCGCTGTGTCCTGTTGGGTTCCCTGAGCGCAGCGCTTGTTAAACCTGGCCCTGCCGTGCAGGGAAGGACCTTAGAGGTCACTGAATCCAAAGCCTTTAATTACAAGGGAGAAACCCAGTGCTCAGAGAGGGAGGCTTTGCAAAGGCCATAGATGTGACCCGCTGGAAGAAAGGGGGTTGTTTGTTTTCACGCTCAGAATCCACTTTCCCCATAGAGAAGAAACCCAGGCGAGATGGATGGGTTTTTTAACTCCTTCACTGATCAGTTTTTATTGAACTTCTACTACGTGCCAGGCAGCTCGGAGTTCTCTGGAAACCGAGGTGGATTATGCGTGGACCCTAAAGCTGGTGGATAAGGGCATCGAAGGGTTAACATCCGGGAGCTACTGAGGGTGGGGGTGGGCAGAGGAATCTCCCCGAGGAAAGGGCCCCCTCTGGAACCGCTCAGACTCCGGAAACCTGGGCGCGAAGAGCCTGGGAAGCGCTGCCCGTCTGGCTCACGGCCTCCCCCGCAAGCCAGCCCAGGCCCGGGGAGGGGCGGCTCTCGAATTACAACAAAAGGGGCCGGAGGCCGGGCCTGCTGCGGTGGCCACCTCCCGGGAAGGGGGTGGGTCCGGGGAGGGGTTTGCCGTCCGACTAGCGTTAAAAGTACCGGGAAAAGCGTAAAGGAGCGACTCCAGCCCGCGGCTTCCTCAACTTGGGTCCCGCTTCCTTCAGCGGCCGGAGAAGTCGGCTCGCCCCCTCTGCTCGGGAAAGGGGCTCAGCGGCGACGCGCGCGGAAGGGGCCACCGTGGAAAGCTGGTCCCGGCCCAGCCAGTGCCGGCGCCTGTTGCCAAGTAAGAGCGCTCCCTGCTCCTCCCCTGCGCACAGCTGTAGGCAGGGAAGCGGGAGCGTCCCGGTGGGGTTTCCAGGGTCCGCTCCCTGCGGAGCTGCCTCTCGGCCATGCTGCGGGCTCCCCGGACCTGCGTGGCGGCCACTTAGAGCGAAGGCTGCTTGCTCGGAGTGATGCCAGGACCTGCCGGCTAACGGGTGCTTCTTCCCACTCGGGCGGACCGCTCCAGCCCCACCTCTCCCTGAGCCTGGCAAGCTTTGCAGCTGGCGCGCCCCGGGGATCAGGGCGCTGTGCTCCTGGCTTGCTGGGGGCTCCTGCGACCCGGCAGGACGCAGCCCTCGTGGCTCTGTGCTCGCTAGGTGCGGGGTGGGGCCAGGGTTACCCGGAGTTCTGGCTTTTGAGAATGTGGGGAGCGCGGGGGGACGGGGGGTGCCCTGGGGCGTCCCGGAGCTGTGGCTTTGGGGATACGGAGTGCACAGGGCTGGTGCAGAGTGGGTGGGGGCCACCTGGGGTGCGCCTGGGTGCTCCAGCGCCCGCTGCCTCGGAATTGGGTTTTCTCCCCACCCTGCTGTAAACGCTCGGCTGGGCGCAGGAGTGCCAAGTCCTGTTCCGGAGGGCAGGCGCGGTCCGCACCCAAGGTATTCCCTCCCACGTCGTGCTGGAACCGGGGAACCTCTCCCGTCGTTATCACAGAGAGGCCCTGGAGTAGGAAAGAACTAGCACAAGCTAGCCCGGGGGTCGTACTTGCAGGATCGCCCCAGGGGTAGAGCAAATCCTAGTCCTGTATGTATCCCGCGGTCCTCCGTGCCTGCAGTTTTTACGCAGGCGCTTTGGCCACCGCGCGCTGCACACCCTCCCCCAACTCCAAATCTGGGATCCTCCTAACTGTAGCTGCCTGCTGGAGGTGTCGCTGTAAATCAGCGCCGAAATAGAAATGATTGGAAGAAACAAGCGAAGACCACCAAAAAACAGCGCGGGTGGGGTGAGGGAACGCGGCAGAACTTGGCGCGGTGGGGGTGGGAAGCACTGAACTACTCAAAATGTAGGAAACCTCAGGTCCAGGTGAGAACAACGATGTTCATGAAAGTCGGAAACATGCCCCCAAATTAATTTCGTGCCCTAAAATCTTTGAACCGCACAGTTTTTAAAATTAGCCCAGTCGTGGGGCGCCTGGGTGGCTTAGTCGGTTGAGCGTCCGACTTTCGCTTGGGTCATGATCTCGCGGTTCGTGGGTTCGAGCCCCGCGTCGGGCTCTGTGCTGACTGCCAGCTCAGAGCCTGGAGCCTGTTTCAGTCTGTGACTCCCTCTCTCTCTGACCCTCCCCTGCTCACGCTTTCTCCCTGTCTCTCTCCTAGAAATAAATAAAACATTTAAAAAAAAAATTTAAAATTAGCCCAGTCGTTTCTTTTTGCAGAGGAGTTAAAGCGCTGAAGCTCAAGGCCACGGAGCTAGTCCGTGTGGACACTCGCATCCCTTTCCTATACTCCAGCTCCTCCCTCATGCCACCGCGAGCCTGTCTGCCCAGGAACCTCCAAAGCCTTTGTCACCTTTGCTGACATTTTTTAGTTATTCTAAGTTATTTAGTTATTAGGTGTATTCTGTACTTAAGATGGTCAGGAATGAGGCTTAGGAGGAAGAAGTGTTCATTTCCCTGGTCAGTACCCAGAGGAATGACTGACTCCGTAGACCCTGCCTTAGCTCATTATTCATCTCCCTGTCCCTTTCCCTTTTGTCCTGTTCCCCAGTATCTGCCCTGGAATGACCATTCAAACCCACGGCAAAGTGCCTGCCCCCATTTGGCCCTGAGGTTCTTGGAGCCCAAAGGGATTGAGAATCAGTGGGGTGTGTGGGTATGCAGGAATCTGTTTGTCTCCCTGTGACTTTGTGTTACAAAATGACATGGTCTAAGGTGAATGTGAAACCTAGGTCTGAAGACAAAGTGCACTTGACATTGCAGGTTGGCTGACGTTTGGATGCATGGCAGACAGAAACTTCTGATAGAGGCTTCCATCTATCTCCTTTCCACCTGGGTTCCTGGCCTGGCTTCTCCTGGCCTTTTGCCATGTCCTTGTTCTCTGACTTCTGGATAACCAGTGTGGAAGGGTCTTGTGAAGGAAACAGATTTTCTGTGCTCTGGGGATGACCTTCAGTGAAGCTTTGTGCTGTCCCCCTCCCCCAAATTCTGCAATGTTTATTTAAAAATTATTTTGTATTTGGGGCACCTAGGTGGCTCATGGGGTTGAGCCTCAGATACCTGATTTCGGTTCAGGTCATGATCCCCAGGTCCCAGGATCAAGCTCTGTGCCTGAGTGTGGACCCTGCTTAAGATTCTCTCTCTCCCCCTCTCCCCCTCCCCCTTCTGCTCAAGCTCTCTCTTACTAAGATAAAAAATAATAATACATTTAAAAATTATTTTGTTTTCTGAAAAACTGCATATATGCATAAAAGAGAGAAGGCTCCCATATTTTCTCCCCCAGCTTCAACAGTTATCCATATTTTGCCATACTCCCTCCTTTCTATCCTGTTGCTCTTTCTTTTCTCATTGAAGTATTTTAAAGCAAATTCCAGATTTCAAATTTGATAATAATTCCATCCCTATGTATTTCAGTGTAATCCTGAAAAGTATTAAATAACCATTTCACCATTGTTATGCCTAAGAAAGTTAAGAATAATTCTTTACTATCATCTAATACTTAGCTCATATTCAAAAATTTCCCACTTTTGGGGCACCTGAGCGGCTCAGTTGGTTAAGCATCTGACTTCGGCTCAGGTCATGATCTCACAGTTCGTGAGTTTGAGCCCTATGTCGGGCTCTGTGCAGACAGCTCAGAGCCTGGAGCCTGCTTTGGATTCTGTGTCTCCCCCTCTCTCTGCCCCTCCTCCGCTCATGCTCTTTCTCTCTCTGTCTTTCAAAAATAAATATTTTAAAAAATTAAAACAAGACAGAAACAAAAACAAAAATTTCCCACTTTTCCCCGAAATGCCTTTGTAAAGTTGATCCGAATTCTTCCAGTTTTTGTAGTCTATGTTCATCTTGTACGTTACTCCTTTCAAACCAGTTTTCTATCCACTGTGTCATTTGGTTATTACAACACCTCACTAAAGAGCAAGATGGGTACTAAATTCATTTTACAGCTGAGGAAACTGGCAAGCAGATAAGCTGTCCAGGTGGCAGGGCCGGTGATTGGCGGAGCCAGGACCTGACCCAACCTCCTCATTCCTGGGCCGTGGTGGTTCTGTTTCTCAGTGCTGCTCATGGATTATCAGCTGTCCTCTGAAGTGTTCCTCTTGGCTATCGCTGCATCCTGAGTTTATCACTTCCTATATACCTGTGATTAGAAATCCGTGTGTAAATATTTAGTAATTGGCCATTTGGCGCTTGAGGTAAATCAGCTGCAAGGTCAGGAAGCCTGGGCTTATTTCCCAGCTTATTGTAGAACTGTATGAAAGCGACTGCCCTCTTGAGGACTCGGGGCGGGCCTCTGTGCACTATGAAGCAGCATTTTCCCCCTATTCTCTGGCTCCTAGGGCTGGGAGTAGGATGAGTGAAAGTGTTGTCGTTGGAGTTCGTGGACAAGACCAAGGCCGTGGAAAGAAACCTCACTGAGAACCATTACCCCCCCACACACACACACCACGGATCGCCCGAGTGGTAGTTTGGCAGCTGGTGTCTTTAGTCGGAGATTCCTACATTGCATGACACAGAAGAGGTTTCCCTCTGAAGTCTTTCATTTATGGACAGCTTTGTTTATTCTGCCTTGGTCTGATGAAGATCTAGAACACCAGAATTTTTTACATTTAGCATTTTCATTACTTGTGTTTATTTGCTCTGAAGTGGGGTGATAAATCATTTCTACATCTTATTAGTAAGACTCATGATTTGGAATTCTTCCTTGGCTGGCCATGTGGGAAAAGGGATCTCTTATTTCTTGACTCCTAGATTTTCTGCTCTTATATTCATTGCCCGAAATAGCCATTGAGTGAACACACCTTCCGTAAAACAGCCAGTCAGGGACAGAGAAACTGGTTGCTCAATCCCATTATCCAAACTGTAGGAACTCGAAGGGGCAAAGCATTAACCTTGAATCACCCTGTCTGCTGGCAGTCATAAATTCTCTTTCCCCTTAGCTGATAGGCTGTCTCCATGGGGGCAGAATTTCTAGATGATTCCATATCAGCTGTGGCAGTCACTTCTTTTACAGCTCCAGGAGCATTTGGAGGTGGAGTCCCCCACTCCTGGGGCTGCCTGGATTCTGAACAGCCTGTAAATACTATTGTTCATTCCCTTCTGGAGAATGGTCTTCAAGGTCCATCCACGTGACTATGTCACATAAACCCACCTGCACCGCAGACCCTGAGTGGGCCATGAGGCCTCAGATGAAGTGGCCACAGCCTATCCCACTCCAGGCCCACAGAACCAGCAGAATTGGCATCCGTGGGCCAGGACTGGGAGGACCAAGCAGATTCCACAGACACGCGCCTGCAGCCATGCGCTGTGTATCTTCCGTTCTCCAGCCGTGTCTAGGTTTGGAATGAGTCTTCAGACCTTCTTATCTGAGTAATTCTAGCTGTGTTCCTGCTGTCGAGCACGGAGCATGGTTGGCAGAGAACACAGCCTGGCCAGGTGGGCTGGTCAGTCTTCCCCGCCACCTGTATCTGAGAATTCTTTTGGCACCAGGACCATCCCTTCAGAATAGCCACTTGTTTGAGGGTGATAAAAGCGTGATGGTGACAGTTTAGATAAGATTTCTGCCCAGAGTCCCAAAAAATCTTTGGCACTTTTCTTGGCAAAAATGACATACCCAGGTAAGTGGTGTGTGCCAAGACCAGGTGTAGAGTGTGAACAGACTCAACAAATAATGAGGATGTAATTAGGACCACAGTGGATCATTTCTTCTTACCCAAGGCTTTTGATGCCTTCATGTGGAGTATCTTTAACTTCATACTATCACCTGCTAATGATGAGACATTTTTTTGTTTTTTCATTGTCAGAATCTCTGTTAT